AAAACAAGCCCTAGTTCCTTAACAACCATATCTTTTCTAAACCATCGTTTTGTCAAGAAAAGAAACGATTTTCACTCAGTCCCATCTGAAAGAGGAGAAAGTGGCTATTCGACTCTCAAATGCTGATGATTTTGACTAAATATCAAAGCTTTTCATTCTTAAAGACCCTCTATGGATGATCATTTCGATTTTTACTCTTTGACAATTTACAATTTTAGTTATTCTGTTGAAACCCTTTTAGAATTACCAATGCTGGTATAAATTTATGATGTTAAATATGGTTCTCTAGTCAGCCAAGTCTCAATAAATTCTCCAATAATTCTATCAAATGAATCCGTAAATTCATCAGTCAAATTTTTTACAGTGGAACCGAAACACGAAGTGGGCAAGCAAGGATATGAGAACGTAGATAAAAAATTTCCATAATAGCCTATTTTTGGCACACATTGCGTAATCCTAATTTTGTTCTCAGAAATTTTGATCTTGAAGCAAGAATTTACCCATTGTTACTGACTGAAACAACATACCGGTACGTGCTGTAATTTGTATTATTTAATGGCTACTTCCGCAAAGTCAAACATGACCTAAACACTCGAGGTCGCACTTGAGGAGGTTGACCATTGATTGTTTTGGGTTGTCGTAATCTGACCGTTAACGTGCCAAACAAAAAGTATTACGTCACAGGAGCTGTTTTGTAACGACAACTCACAGACAGAAGTGACAACCGCACGTCTGTGTTCGTGCGCTGAAAAGGAGAAAAACCGTCATTTGTTTGCTTGCTACAACACATTTAATGCTATTAAAGGTTTTTAACTTAGAGTCAAAGCCCAATAACGAAAGAAAAAGCAAAAGGAATCATTTCAGCATCATAAAAACTAGTTATGATCATATATAAACTACTACACTGAAATCGGCACTATATAATTACTTATCAATAATTTGGGTTTAAAACTCAAAAACGACCATCGAAAAGAAAGTTCATCTTTCTGTTGTGCCTAAAGCGTGTCCTCGTAAAGTTGGAAAAGCATTGTGAGCTTGTCTCACTAGAAGCTTGACAACCAGATGAAGAATATCAAAAGTGAACGGTTGGGGCTCCACCGAGTAGGTAGACGCGTGTTTCGTTAGAAGCGGCTAGTTGCAGAGTGCAGCACGCTAAGCGAAACACACCAAAGACTCTTGCCCTGTCCATTCTAAATTTTCTTTAATCTTTATTCTCTGATGCAATTGTACATACAGAAAATCCAACTCACTCTTCTCATTAACCACTCTGACTCTTATTAACTGATCGACTCTGACTGAGTCTTATTAACTCTGAATAACTTTAATTTTAACTCTGATGCACTTCATCTCTTCTCTATAGCTTCTCTACAATATACACTTATGTATTCATTATTGGCAGCTAGGCATAATCGGAGACGCTGGACAACTCACCTTGGAATGTTAAACATATGTGGTTCAACGAGCCTCACGCCGTTAGCAACCAAAAAAAWTCTAGATATCCAGCAGAGAATCCGTCCGTATTCTGTGCTGGATACCTAGTGGCTTGCTGGGGTAAAATATTTGATCGTATTTCGCTTCTAATTTGATAGAGACGTCAACTCTTACGCAATCATGTCATCATCCTAGGGCGTGAAAAGGTAATTAAAGAAGCCGTATCCGAAAAAAGTGTACATGGTCGGCGCTGAAACAAAGCTGAGTGTTTTAGTCTCAGCTTAGTGCTGAAACAAAGCGCTCGCCCGGAGCGTGTTGCGGCTAATGATAGAGTAACGTTGAAGAAACATTTCTTAGTTAATGCTAGCGTATTTGGTTGACTTTATTAATACTAACACAGGCTGCGACGCTTATTTACCAGATTTTTGTATTCGGATCGGAGACAAAATAAATTCCTGAACCGACGATTTTTTCCCTTTGTGTTTGGCATTTTTGACAGCTGACGCTCGGTGCTATGATTTTTGAGCATTCGGATACCAGTTGTTGGGAATGAACTCGGCGTATTACAACCTATAACTTCTTTTGCTGTTTAACGCAGATTCCACAATACATGGCGGCCCTTTCTCACTAATATTTTCTCGCATTTATAGTTTTCACACTGTTCCAGATTTTTAAACTATATTCATACAGTACTCATAAGATTCTTTGTCACTGGTCTTTAGATGATCTATATTGGTGCCGGAATCCTCTAGATAGTTGCGAGAGATTACAGACATTATTAGTATGATGGGATTAAGGCACTGGTGTTGAAAATCTTTTTGCGTTACCTCCTCAGCAAAGGTGATTAAAATCGTGAATAAACAGAGACCTGGGTTAGTAACAATTGTTTTCAAATCAAGATAGGAGATGTTGAACAAGCTGACAAAGCTTACGAAGTGAAAAATGCGAAAGAGGAGGAAGTACAAATTAGTTTAAACAGACAAAGACCAACTTTCGTTTAATGACGCGTTACGAACAAGTTTACACTCCCTTGAACTTTAACAAGATTATTACTGTCATACAAGTCCGTGAATTTCAGGGGAAGTCCGCCAATGAATTCAACAAATCCTTGGAAAGTCCTTGAATTTTTATTTTCTTAAAGCTTTCTTGAGAGGGGTGGGACGTTAACTTTTTCCGGAAAACCAACTGTAAATAAGTCAAGCGTTGTGCGCCAGGGTGGTTTTGAAATTAACATGGGGCGCGGTAGTAGATCCAGTAATGCGTCATTGACCAAGCAGGAGGACTCAAACCTGAGCTAAGCGTTGGTAGCCAAGAGAGAGCTTGCCTGTGGGTCACACAAGGACAAAATGACTCCGATGCTGGCCACCGCAGAAAACGGGAAAAAAACCAAGGGCTATTCGCCAATCAGCTCACGGAATTCGCTCCATCTTGCACCGCTTGCGAAGCCAGCCATATAAAAAGGCAAGGTAATACACCGGCGTAATATAACTCTTAAAGCAAGATCTCTCCTAGTATATTCATCTAAGGTAGTAAAAGTTTAAAATGTTATGAAAGCTGAAAAAGAAAGGGTTCCTGTGTCGCGCTTATTCAGAGCTACAAGTTTGGATGGTCAAGGGGTGGGCGCCTATTGAAGGAAATACGGTATATCAATTACTGAGGCTGTACGCAATATTTCGTGTTGTTTCATACTTTATATTATCTCATATTGCCCAGTTTGTCAGGAAATCAGTCGTCGTCGTCTGTTGATGTCCTACAAAAACGTCGCATCAAAAATTTTACGATCTACCTTCGCAAAGAAATGTACCAGCAGTTGTTCTTCCTTGTGTTATTTATTGATTTTTTTTGGCAGCTTTTTATGTTTTGATGTTCTCTTCCCGTCGAGGTTTGCAGGGCGAATTTGAACAGTAAATGAAGTTGTTTTTTAAATTTTTGTCCCAAAAGATCATTTATTCCTGTCGCTCTGCTGTGGATTGGTAAAGAGCTCAAATAGCAGAAAAGTTTGGGTCACAAGAATTTCTTTACATTATATATCCCAGAAAACTTAAGGCATTACTCTGAATGCCATAACTTCAGCCTGGGTAAGCCAGAAAAGATAGACAATACTTCCCTATCTTAACCACGAATGAAAAACTAAGTATGTTAAATATCCCAGAAGCGCTCAGGCATTAGACTGAATGCCAGGACTTCAGCCTGGGTGAACCAGTAAGGCCGATAGACAACACTTCCCTGGATTAACCTGTGAATGTCAAAGAAAATAAGTATGTTATGTATCCCAGAAGCACTGAGGCATTACTGTGAATAGCAAGACTTCAGCCTGGGTGAACCAGAAAGGATAGACAACACTTTCCTATATAGACCATGAATGAAAAACTAAGTATGTTATACATACCAGAAGTGAACCAGAAAGGATAGACGACACTTTCCTATATTGACGATGAATGAAAAGCTAAGTATGTTATATATCCCAGAAGTGCTCAGGCATTATGCTGAATGCCATGACTTCAGCGTGGGTGAACCAGAAAGGAAAGACATCATTTCCCTCTAACCGTGAATGACAAACTAAGTTTGGTATGTATCCCAGAGCTCTCAGGCATTACGCTGAATGCCATATAAATCTAAGAAATATGACAAATAAATATATATCTCAGAAGTGACCAGGCAACACTGAAGAAAAGAATATTGTTACAGGATTAGACTTCAAGAATATAGATTTTTTTTAAATAAAACAATGTTGACTGTGCCTTACTACAATGAGTGGACAGAATTTAAAAATTAAAATGTTAGACATTGCATGCAGAGTGCATAAATTAACATCACAAGGCTCCTCTTCAAGGAGAAAGGGCAAGTCATCTCTTAACCCCTTCCATCTGAAACAGACAGGAAAAAAAAACAGTGAATTTAGTTTCCACCTTTATAATTCAAATCTACCATATTTTTGCTGGTAACTGTCCGTCAAACTAAATATCCCAAGTGAGATTTAAAGACATGCATTCCAATAGAAAGTAAAATACCATACTACAAGCTGGACGTTTTTTTGCATGTCAATACAGAAATGCAGAGTTGTACCTACCCCCCAATATTTGCTTTGCTCTTTAGGAAACACTCAGCATGGGCTTCTCCACAAGGAACACCAGGACAGGCACATTCCTACAAATAAATTGCATGTATCACTCAATAATGAATCAACTGAGCTAAAGTCATATAATGTTCACCACTATTTGTAGATATATATAATCACTGTTCACCACAGATAAAATATGTTCATTATGATGGACAGAATTCTGCCTTTCCATAAAGTCAAGAAAGCTAAGAAAACTCTCACTAATTGATTACAAATAAATTGCTTAACAAATACGAGTAGCCTGAATAATATTATGTGTTGTGTTTTTGTAGAATTCTGCTATGATGGATGTCATTTAGCATTGCAGGTATAACCTACCTAAGTTATTAATAATAACTTTGCAGAATACACAGCACTCTGTGTCCAATCCTTGCTTGCAAAGTTCATTGATATATTTGTTGGCTTCACCACCTTTTTGCTTGAGCAGCATTATCAGTACTTTGTAATCAAGAGTAACTGTCATGAAAAAAGACAAGATAATATCAAGTTGAAGTTTAAATAGCTACAATACAGATCTCAGTCAAATGGTATACTTTCAATTGAACACCACTTTCCCAGATATTTTCTAACACTGCCAAGCATAAAATGGATTCAATAATTACTAGAACATGGGTAGACATGTAACATAAAAACATTGCAAAAATAAAAAATAATAAGATTAAATAAATATAGAGTCGAGATTGGCACACATAAATAACCCGGAAATTTAACTTTAAAGTATCTTCCATCAACCACTACTCCAGTTTTCTCAATAGCATCCCTCTGGCGATTTAAATCTTTTATCGTAGAAAAAGAGAAATGGAATAAATTATAATTATACTGTCAAGACCCTATCAAGCTAACAAACCGGAAATTTCCCCTAATGTAGCCATAAAAATGATGTGATTTTCCTGCCAGGCAGAATGAGTTCTGATACACCACAAAACCAACATTCACAACAAAACATAAGACAGCAAATACGCTTTTTCCAATCTTAATAAAAATATAAACGTTATGACTAATACGCCGGCTCGTCTTAGCTTGGAAATGCTAAGTGAACGTTTGCCAAGCTTTTCTTGGTCCAGGATTCTCGACTGCTGTTTGAAAAACAGTAGGGTCCAGTCTGGTACTCTGAGAGATTGCAAAAACTGAGGGTTACTGTCCCCCAGTATTGTTTCCAACGCTTGCAGTAGGCTGTTGCTGTTAATTCTTATTTTCTCAGCGATGTGACGCTGAGCATTCGCCCCACCTCAGCACTGTGGACCTGACCTGCGATTACATTTGATCGATGTCGCGGCGACCTTCTCCTCAATGTTAACTCTGATGTTGGTCTTACTTAGCTGATTTTTTAAATTTATTCAAATAGGGATTCTAGCTGACTCCATGCTTGATTGAGGTCGGCCTTTAGTCGATCGTTTTCAATTCGAATAGCTGCGGAGGCATCACGAACAGCTTTCAGCTCCTCGCGAAAGTCATCGCTTGGTCGAGTCTTGGTGGTCTTCGTTTTGATTTTAGGCGAATTTATTTTATCGATCAACCAAAGATATCTCATCACTTCTCCTTCTTTGAATTTCTGCCGGAAGATGGCAGAAACAACTCCAAATAGAAAGGCGATGGCCACTTTGTTGTTCTGAACATATCGGGCATCCAAGCTTCCGACATTTTTCTAGGCTGGACTGTACAAAACACGGTTGGAAAATGTGCCACAAACAGGCTACTTCAGAGAAACTTGCTGACCCTTGTGCCACATTTCTTAAAATTTAAGATAAACCATTCCCTTGACTGAAGTTCGAAGGAATCCATAACTGCACTCGACCGCGGGAAACTAAACATTCCCGCTTTTGCCTACGCATATTAATGTAAAATCCAATCTCGAAATGTCAATAGGCCGAAAGGCTTCATTGAACCCAGTAGGAGCAGAGTATTGGGTAGTTTGGAAAATTAGGAATGCCGGATTGAGAACCGTAACCGGAATACTCAGAATACCCCGAATACCTGGAAAATCCAGAATACCCGGAATACCCGGAATTCCCGGAATGACCGAAAAATAATAAATTAAAAAAAAAAATAAAATAAAAGTAAATTAATAGATAAATACGAATATTGATGATTAAAAATTGATGTTAAATTCACAACTTAATTAAATAATTTAATACGAAATTTTTCTCTAAGGATCCCAAAAAAACAAAAAAAAGAAACACTTACCGGTGCTGTTCATGGAGCTGGACGTATTAGAAGTAAAAAAAGGTCTGGGTCAGGCCAGAAGCCCACACAGCCTAAGCGACAAAATATTTCTACTCTTCCTTCCCCCTGGATGGGATGCTAATCCATCACTTGGTTTCTCCCCGTTTTAAATTCGCCTCCACCCATTTACACACCTGTAGGATGTCTAAGGCGCCATGACCTTTAGGCCGCCACGCTTTTCCAGCCGGAATCATTGCAGAAGATTAAAAAATGCAATATTTCCAATTAGTTTAATAGTTCAATTGAAAAAGCGCCGAACTATTACAAATTGATACTCTACCTTAAATAATTATTAACCACACATTGGGAGCTATCAAAGTCATTAAGACCAGCCGTCTACATTTAAAATTGAGAGATCGTCAGTTACTCGATACCTTTTCGCGTCTATTACAAATACCTCGAATACATGCCTTTGAATATAAACCTTGTTTAGAAGAATCCATCGGTACAAGATATATATTTAAAGGTATATTCAAGGTATTTATGATGGACGCGAAAAGGTGTCTAGTAACTGACGATCAGTCTCAATTTGAACTGTAGATGGCTGGTCTTAATTGTAGCTGCTTTGATAGCTCCCAATGTGTGGTTAATAATTATTTAAGATAGAGAATTAATTTGTAATAGTTCGGAGATTTTTAAACTAATTGGAAATATTGCATTTGTGTAATCTTCTGCAATGGTTCCGGTTGGAAAAGCGTGCAGGCCTAATGGTTATGGCGCCCTGGCTAGATTTCTTATAGGTGTGTAAATGGGTGGAGGCGAATTTAAAACGGTGAGTAACCATGTGATGGACTAGCATCACATCCAGGGGGAAGGGAGAGTAGAAATATTTCGTCGCTTAGGCTGTATGGGCTACTGGCCTGACGCAGACATTTTCTAATTCTAATAATACATGCATCTCCATGAACAGTGCCGGTAAGTGTCTTTTTTCGGGATCCTCAGAGAAAATTTTCGTATTAAATTATTTAATTAAGTTGTGAATTTATCATTAATTTTTAATCATCAATGTTGTTATTTATTTATTTATTTATTTATTTACTTTTATTAATTTGTGATTTTTCGGTCATTCCGGGAACTCCGGGTATTCCTAGTATTACGGTTCCGGTTCCAAATTCCGGCATTCGATATTTTCTAAACTAGCGAGATCACTGTCAGCGAAGAGGCTGTCAAGGTGACGATGGAAACTTAGCCGGTTTATGACGTCACTCCATAGCAACCAGCTTGTTCGAATATTTTAACTTCCGTTCACCTGAGGCTCGTGATGGAGAAACAATCCAAACACTTTTACAAGAATGTAACAAATGAACCGCAACGTACTTAATGATTAAATAATCAATCTTTAATTAGCGGGGGCAAAGTCACTAGACCAACTATAAAGCAGTCCACTAACGCGAATTAGACAAAACTGAGATCTGAAACCCAAATAACTTCGATAACGGCAAACAAATGACGAATTCTTAACCTACTAGCTTAACTCTATACAATACCTGTTTTGATCTCGATCACCTCTTAGATTTACCTGATAAAACCCTCAATATTGATGGCGATAATTTAAGGCATTCTTCAAACTGTAACACACATTTCAAAATCTTTGTGATGTGAAGCATCTTACTGATATGCTGATTAAACCGATAGTGTTTTAGGAAAAGATTGCGAGAGCACTGCTTACCAACACAAAAAGTTAAAGATATTTTACGAAGAGGCTTAAGTATTGATGTGGAAATCTAAAACGATAATAGTAATAGGAGCGTTTTCCCGCGAGGAAAAGTAAATTTTTCAGAAAAGATGGTAACAGCTAGTTTGTGTGCATGTCTTTAATATTCCTACTGATTTTTGTCTAAAAAAAAAAAAAAAGCTGGTGGGTGTAATTACTTATTATTTACGCTAGAATGACTAAGACTGAATCAACTATCGATGTGCAATAATTTGCATAGAATAATATGTAAAGTGAATGCTTTCATAAAGTTAAATATGGCGTCAAGACTGTTTTACCGACCTGGCTTGTCAACAGCCATATCATTTCGAAATCATCGTTTTGTTCGGAAAAACAACTGCTTCCTTTCCTATCTGAAAGAGGGGAAAGTGGCTGTTAGACTCGCAAATGCTGATGATTTTGATGACATAGTAAAGCTGTCGAAGAGGGTGGAAGACAGTTTCGACTATGTTCCCTACAGGTTCTATAAGTGGCTTGCGGCACCCAACAGAATCACTATAGTTGCCGAGAAAGGAGCGAAAGTGGTGGGTTTTATGGGTTGCAGCGTCGTTGACGGGAAGGAGTCGATGGTTCTTGAAGCCGCAAGAGTTGATCCTGATCATAGAAATCAAGGCATTTACATTTCTCTTATCAGTTTTGGGATTGAGCAAACCCGGGAAGAATTTCCGACAGTGGTGCGCTTAAGGTACTCGTTGTGGTCTGGAAGTTACAAAGGAATAAAAAATGCAGCCCTGAAATTTCAGCTGGAAGGTAAAGAAGTGCAATGTTACGATTTTCTAACTTACAAAGTTGAGCCAGAGCATGTCAATTTTGGATGCAAAATGCAAAACTGCCCGAAACTTGTGCCGTGCACAAAGGATGCATTCCAAAAACGTATCCTTGACAAGGCTGTTACCACTGCGCTATTTTCTAATAATATTCTTGTTGTTGACTGGTTTCCTTTTGAAGCCATCCCATCCAATATCGAACACATCATATTGTATCAGGATCGATATTTAATCGATTTGTCAAGCGGTTGTCATGGAAACTTGACACCGTCGTCTCTTAGTCTTGGAAGATTCGTGAAGGTTATTTCTGGAACGTTATGGACTTCAACAATCTATGCTAAGGACTCAAAGCTTTGTCAGTCCCATGTGATCCATCAGTTGATGAGTGCCTGTGCAAGTGCACAAAGGAGCTTCCTGTTTAGCTCCTATCAAGATCCCTCTCTTACCGAGTATTGCAAAGAAGCTCTGAAGGACTTTCCGGGCGTTAAAAGTATGAGTAATGGCGAATCTATCCAAAAAATGTATATCCTTGAAGTTGACCTGAGAGGTTGGAGGCATCGCAATCGATGAAGTAGTAATGCCTTGTTTCCATGCGGTCTTCTTAGGAATGTTACTGGTTACTACAAGTACGACATTAGTATTATAGAGAAGTTAATTCAGTAATTCTACTTATATAACGTTGTGACTACATTGCCTCAAAATAAGGAGGGCAAAGATCATTAATGGTATGTTGAGAAAACCAATTTGAATTTTTTTTCCCCTGGCATTAGTCAAGAGCGGTCAGAACAACAATTAAACCAATTTCGTAGGAATGTCACAAATAAACAGAAACTACTTAATGATCACACAATCAATCTCCAACGGCCAAAGCTAAAGACAAAGTCAATAGACAAACTAACACGTTTTAGGCAAAAACCGAGATTAGGCAAAAAGAGATTAGGCAAAACCGTAACAATCAGCGATAGCTATCGCTAAAAGATTCCTAAAAAACGAAAACAACCTCGGACTTTGAATACAAATCTTAAATAAATGCTAAATGAAAGCAAGTGAATAAATCATACCTAACTAACTAAATAGATCACAACACAAGTTTTGATCCCGGTCACGTTTCTTTAGATTTATATGGTACAACCCTTAATGTTGATAACGATAATTAAAGGCATTTCTGAAACTATAACACATATTTTAAAATCTTTGTGATGTTATATGTCTTACTTATATGCTGATCGCTGAACAATTTCTCCATAAGAAATGATTGTCAGCTGATTGTTCACTGGAACGAAAAGCGGTTTTTAAGAGGCTAAAGTATTGATAAGGAAATCAAAGACGTTTGAAGAATAATCATTTCTGGCTCTATTATTAGTAGACCGTTGCTCTTTCCATGCTCATATAGGATGGCGTTGCTGTTTTCGCTGTTACACGATTGACAGTTTGCTACTTTGTAACCCTAATATAATAAATGATGATACTCTAAGTTACACGTCATTAAATCAGAATAGCGTCTATTGTGTTATGCCTCGTTCTTCAAACGTGTAAACGAGGTGAGCGGATATTCTAAAGTTACTCCTGCTCACCCAAATCGGTGAACTTAAATATTCCGAGATCTCCCATTTAATTAATCACAAGCCGACAAGCCGAATGAGCAAGCGAATAAGACAAAATCTTTACACTACTTTAGTAGCCTTTTTCACCAAGAAGTAAATTAATAAGAAACTTGAGTAATTCAAACAGAATGGAAACAGCTTTTTTTGCTTGCGTGTTGTAGTCCACTTTTGAACGTTAAGATTCTGATTGAAAACAATTAACCTTGTGGGCATATTTAACGCTAGAACGAATAAGACTACACCAAATAATGTGCAGTAATTTACATTGATTAATGTGCGTTTTCGCAAAGTTTCAAAATATGGCAATGGCTTTGAGATTCTTCCACCACTCTGGTTTCTCAACAACCATATCTTTTCGAAACCATCGTTTAGTCGGGAAAAGAAATTATTTCCTCCCCCATCTGAAAGAGGAGAAAGTGGCTGTTCGACTCGCAAATGCTAGTGATTTTGACGAGATTTTAAAGCTGTCTAAGAAGATGGAGGACACTTTCGACTATGTCCCCTACAGGTTCCACAAATGGCTCACGGAGCCCAACAGATTCAATATCGTTGCTGAGAAAGGATCGAAAGTGGTGGGTTTCATGGGAATGAGCGTCGTTGACGGTGAAGAGTCATTAGTTATCGAAGGTGGAAGAGTCGATCCTAATCATAGAAATAATGGTGTTATCGCGTTGATTATGTCTCTTGGATTTGAGCTAACCCGTCAGAAATTCCCAAAGGTGGTTCGTACAAGGTACACAGTCTGGTCTGGGGCTTACCAAGGAGTACAGAATACAATCCAAAAGCACAAGCTCAGCGATAAAGAACTGCATAACTACGATTTTTTAACTTACAAAGTTGACCCTGAGCAGATCAACTTTTCCAACTTTGAACACAAGTTAGAAAACTGCTCGAGCCTTCGACCCTGCCCAAAGGAAGAGTTTCAGAAAAACGTTCTGAAAAACACTGGTACTCTCTCGCTACTTCCTAATAACATTCTGGTTATTGACTGGCAACCGTTTGAAGCCATGCCATCCAACATCGAGCACATCGCAGAGGACCGAGATCAATATTTTGTCGACTCGTCAAATGGTTGTCAGGACCAATTGAATCCATTGTCTTTCAGCCTGGGAAGATTTGTGCAATTGGTTCGCGGGATGGTGTGGTCCTCAACGATCTACGCGAGGGACTCGAGACTTTGTCGGTCTCAGGTGATCCATCAGTTGACGAGTGCCTGTCAGACTGCACAAGGAAGCTTTTTATTCAGCACCTATCAAGATCCTTCCCTCACCAAGTATTGTAAAGAAGCCCTTAGCGACATTCCAGGTGTTACAAGGATAAACGATGAAGAGCCTACACAAAAGATGTTTATTTTTGAGGGTAAATTGGAACCAAAAACAATCATAGAATAGTGTGCAACAGGGACTAGAAAAGCTTTTTTTCCGTATGGAAGTAGAAGAATACTTCTCGTGTATATATATCCTTTGAAAGAAACGTGTTAAAGATGGCCGTTTTCATTCTCAAAAAGCTCTGATTTACTGCAAGTCTCCCATATTTCAGATTCCATATATCCCATATGTGTATTACATGTTTCCTTAGGTAACTTTGGTTAAATGTCTTATATGTCATAAATTCGTTTATAATTAGCTTTAGGTTATCCTTTTTGTAATATTCTTATTATGTCACCACTTATTTATACTCTTGATTTCAAGGAAGTCTGTACTTGTTTTTGTTCACACTCAAGTCTCCTCGAGAGCTTTATCTTTTTGGGGAAATCCAAAGTCATTAATTTAGGATATGATGTTGGGTCTTGAAATGACAGGTAGCGGCTGAGTTCAAGTTTGATAGCCGTTTAGGACGATGTCATTGTATTCTACCCAAAAAGGGAACAAACACACATTAAAGGATACATTTGATTTCAATTTTCTTCCACCAAATTCCAGTGGAATGCATAATTTGAATTCGTCCACGTTCTTTTTTTTACATTTTTCGCTAAAACCCCGAATATTGACTGTGGTAATTTGAGGTATCCTGGACTAAAACAATACATCGCTCAAGGACGTGACGAATCTCTTTATTGTGAATAATTAGAAAAGAAATTATGGCCAAAGCATAAGTTTGTTGAGCCTTTGACGTCATGATGACGTTTTTTGCCGTGCGATTGCGCGCTCGGCTGGACATGTCTTCAGGAATAGCAGACGATTTTTGGACAGCTCTTAGCGGTAAAAAATGGTCATCGAAGGTTTGTTTTGAGGTTTTATTTGCGGAGAGGGTTTTAACTTGACCAAATTCAACATTATTTTGACAAATAAGCACAAAATAAAATGGTCAATTTTCGTCTCAGGGCACTTTCATAAAGTAAGGCTGTTATGCATCGACTGACATAAAATAATATGCGGCCGGATATTGAACTAGCTGCGTGAGTAACCCTTGGCTTGCGCAAAGCGATTTACAATAATGAAGTCACATCGCTCTCCATAGAAAGCTAGATACATCATACCATGATCATTCTTTTACACCTAGATGCATCATGGATAAATATTTGATTTAATTTCTGATTTTATATAAAAGAATGCTTCTACTTTTAAGTTACTTTACGCTCTTAACATCAAGCTTCAATTATTTGGATTGTGTTGATTACGGTGAAAACAAAACTACGCTGCCGATATGAGACTTCGTTGACTTTATGTTTAGATTCTATTCAGCATCTTTACAGCTCTTGCGTTAGTAACTACTTGTCTCAAATCTATCCACCAGCACATATACAATATAGCCCTTGCCTCATAAGTTGTTTCGAGTGCAGCCGACAGTTACCCTTTTCCGAGTAATTTTGACACGGCTGCCTCTCTTTGTGTTCTTTGGGATCGTTTCAAGTGTACAAGCTACAAGTTGTCACTTATTGAACAAATTCTTAACGATGAGAACAACTTTTGTCAGCGTTACCTCATTACTCTTGGTTGTTGGTTGCAACATGAAGGCTATACTACTTGCACCTTCAGGAAGCCTACTAAAGGGTGACGTGACTACGCTAGAAGAAGAGGTCACAGAATTTAGGGACGATGTCACCCGGAAAGACGTGATTTGGGTCGACATAAACTTCTGCCATGAGACATTGGAACGTAGCCTAATTCGCCTACGTGAATAAGAACTGATGATTGTTTTTTTCTCTATCCATTATATAAGCAACAGAACTAAGTTACTCTGTAGCTCTTAGCAACAGAAAAGAACTTGGGTATCCAACCGAGAATCCGCACTTTTACTCCGCATTCTGTGCTGGATACTCAGTAGCTTGCTTGGGTAAAATGTTTGATCGTATTTCGCTTCTAATCTGATAGAGGCGTCAACTTTTACGCAATCATGTCATCATCCTATGGCGTGAAAAGGTATATAAAGGAAAGGTATTCGAAAAAAAAGTGTACATGGTCGGAGCTTAAAAATACTGATGAGACAAAGTGCTCGCCCGGAGCGAGTTTCGGCAAATGATACAGTCACGTAGAAGAAACATTTTTTAGTCAGTGCCTATGTATTTAGTCGATTCCATTAATACTAACACAGGCTGCGACGCTTATTTACTATGACATTTAACAGGTGGCCTGAGTATTTTGTTTTCTAATCAATTTTACCCGATTTTTGTTTTCGGATCGGAGACAAAATAAATTCCTGAACCGACCATTTCTTTCCGTTACTGCTACACTTGTTGTGTTTGGAATCTTTGACGGCTGACGCTCGGTGCTGTAATTTTTGAGCATCATGATCCCAGTTATTGGGAATGAACTCGGCGGAATACAACCCATATTCTCTTTTGCTGTTTAACGCAGAGTCCACAATACATGGCGGCTCTTTCTCACTGATATTTCACGTTGCATTTACAGTTTACACACTGTTCCAGTTTTTTTAACTATATTTACACAGTACTCATAGGATCCTTTGTCGCTGGCCTTCAAATGATCTATATTGGTGCCGGAATCCTCGAGATGGCTGCGAGAGGTTTCAGAAATTATAGAAACGATGTGATTCCGCCAGGCACTGCTGATGAAAATCTTTTTGCGCTACCTCCTCAGTAAGGATGATAAAAATCGTGAATAAAAAGAGACCGAGAGTAGTAGTTCAAGTATTGTTTTCAAGTGAAGATAGCAGATTTTGAACAAGCTGACAAAGCTTACGAAGTGAAAAATTATTAGACGTGCAATGTATAGTTGAAAAAATGCGAAAGAGGAGGTAGGAGAAATGAGTTTAAACAGACGAAGACCAACTTTCGTTTATAAACACAGTACGAACAAGCTTAAGCTCCCTTTAACGTCAACAGGGTTCGGACCGTCTTGCAACAGCGTGAATTTCAGAGGAAGTCCGCCAATGAATTCAATAAATCCTTGCAAAGTCCCTGGAATATCTATTTTCTTAAAGATTCCTCGAGAGGGGTGGGACGTTAACTTTTTCCAAAAACCAACTGTAAATAAGTCAAGCATTGTGCGCCAGGGTCGTTTTGGAAAATAACATGGAGCGCGGTAATAGATCCAGTAATGCGTTATTGGCCAAGCGTTAGGACTCAAACCCGAGCCAAGCGGTGGGTGAGAGCCGAGAGAGAGCCTGCCTGGCTGAGATGCTGGCCACCGCTAACAGCCAATCAGCTCACAGAATTCGCTGCATCTTGTACCGCTTACGAAGCCAGGCACATAAAAAGACAAGGAAATGCACCGGCGTAATATAACTCTTCAAGCAAGAATCTCTCCTAACATATTAATGTAAGGTAGTCAAAGTTTAAAATGTTATGAAAGCAAGAAAAGAAAGGGTTCCTGTGTCGCGCTTATTCAGAGCTAAAAGTTTGGATGGGCGAGGGGGTGGGCGCTTATTCGAGGAAATACGATGTATCTATTACTTGAGGCTGTGTGCGTTGTTTGGTATTGTTTTACACTTCATATCATCTCATATTGCCCAGTTTGTCAGAAAATCAGTCGTCGTCGTGTGTTTACGTCCTACAGAAAACGTTGCAACTGAAAGTTCACGATCTAGCTACGCAAAGAAATGTATCAGCTGTTGTTTTGCTTTGTTTTATGTTTTATGTTTTTTTTTTTTTTTTAGCAGCAGCATTTTGTGTTTTCCCGTCGCGGTTTGCAGGGTGACTTCTGGCAGTAAATGAAGCTGCTTTTCAAATTTTTGTCTCAAACAACTATTTATTCCTGTCGCTCTGCGGTAGATAAGTGAAGAGCTCAACAAGTCCCAGCAAAAAAGTTTGAGTCACAAGAATTTCTTCATGTTAATAATATATCACTGTAGCAATACTCTGAATGCCAGGGCTTCAGCCTGAGTGAACCAGAAAGGGTAGACAACACTTCCCTAGATTAACCCTTGAATAAAAACAACTAAGTATGCTATGTATCCCTGAAGCGCTCAGGCATTATGCTGAATGCCCCGACTTCAGAGTCTGAGTGAACCAGAAAGGAAAGACAACACTTCCATATATTGACCGTGATCGAATGAAAAACTAAAAATGCTCTATATCCCGGAAGCACTCGAGCATTATGCTGAATGCCAGGACTTCAGCCTGGGTGAACCAGAAAGTAAAGACAACATTTCGCTAAATTAAGCGTGAATGAAAAAGCAAGTATGCTATGTATCCCAGAAGCACTCGGGTATTACACTCAGCACCAGGACAAACAACATTTACTAGCTATATTAATCTATGAAATACGACAAATAATAATTAAGAGCGTGTCCACGAGAATACCGAGCAGGAGGCGATAAACCTCAAACTACCGATTTGGCTCAAACTTGGCGCAAATGCTAAGTATGACAGGACGGAAAACACGTGCGCTGTAAGTGCCTCCCGCTGTCCTCTACAAAGCTTTCTAAGGCTTTATATGGGACAACGGGAGGTACTTACAGTGTACGGTTTTTCCGTCCTGTCATGTTCATGAGTTAAAAAATGTGTGATAATAACAGGTCAAAATATTTAATTCCCCGGGTGATATAGGGTCCCCCTGGGAAAACCCCCATATCCTGCATTTTTTGCATAATTAACTAACTAACTTTGCATTGCTGCTGTGACAAACCGAAAATCCATCTGCAAATTTAATCAAATGGGTTGTGTTTTCATGATACCTATCACACTTCAAGAAAATTAACTTGTTCGAACTTTTTAATTTCATTTCTTCCCTTACCATTCCCTTAAGTAAAGACGACTTTTTCTGGTTTGGAGAAAGTCCCAAAATAAGGGTATTTTAAGGTTTAGTATCTCCGATGACCAACCACTTCATTATTCCTATATGGGCAGTGAAAGCCATCACTGGACTTGCAAAATCAGTGATAAAATTTTGGGGTAACTGATTTCATAACTCGTGCTGACATGAAATTTTCATCTACCTCCCACTTTTTTGTCTGTATCATCAAAATTCCGTAAACCACATCCGCTTGCCCAAAAGAAGAGTTCAAAAAACACATTTTGAAAAATGCCAGTAACAACTCGCTATTCCCTGATAACATGCTTGTCACTGATTGGCAACAGTTTAAAGCCATCCCAGCCAACTTCGAATCCATCGTTCAAGGGCAGGATCGATATTTCGTCGATTCGTCAAACGATCTCGCGGGAACCTTGACATCATCAGTTTGGGAAGATTTGTACAACTTGCTCATGGACAGGTGTGGACATCGACCATCTACGCTAAGGACTCAAAGCTTTGTCAGTCCCACGTGATCCATCAGTTAACGAGTGCCTGTCAAAGTGCAAAAGGAAGCCTTTTATTCAGCACCTTTCAAGATCCATCTCTTACAGGGTACTGTAGAGAAGCCCTGACGGACATTCGATATTTAATTGAACATTATATTAGTTATAGTAGTTTGGGATTTCTTCAGTATTACATATTTTATATATAAATCGGGTTCGAAGGGACGGTTAATTAATGGTGAATTATACATCATAGTAGTTAAAGTAGTTGGGGATTTCTTACTGCGCATTTTCGGGTTGGAAGCCGGGATGGGTCATAAATCATAAATTGTAAAGATTACGATTTTCATTCATTTCATTACATGTTATAACATATTTTTTGGTATTTAGCACGTGCACGTTCTTACTAGCTTTGCCGTAAGCTCTTTTGTGTTTAACGTGAATAAATAAACTTACTCGCTTACATACTTACGCTTGTCCAAAGATCAGTATCACTGGCATGAAGAAGTTCGCTGATTTAAACCTGATTAATATTTTAAAAAGCAGGATATGTCCAAGTTTTATTCATTTAGTTATGTCTGCAAGGTTTATCTGAACGTACTAGTAATCGTACGTATCCTACTCCAGTAACAGTTCTTTTCGTCTG